TTTCTATCCATCCATCTGAGCCTTAAGATCGTCAGGAAGGGTCTTATCCACTCCTGGGCCTTGCCACCAAGGAGGCTGCCAAGAAAACTCATTGACTGGCAAGGGAGATGGAAGTATCCATGCAAAGATTTTAAACCTCTCTCAGCCCGACAGCATCCCTGAGTCGACCCTGTAGGTCCGGGGATTGCGGACAGGACCAGCACCACAAACCTTTCGACAACTACAAGCTGCTGTATCTGTGACACAGGTGGACAGGATGGTCCACTTAAACTTCCTGGGACAAGCTTTCCTGGAGGTGTGAGTTGAAAGTCCGTCTGACACAGGCATCGGGACGTTCCCAGCCAACCCTGGGATACACTGTCAGGTCTGACCAGCTTCCTCCCCTGCAAGCGGATCCAACTGTGTGTCCAAGACACATGGCCGAAGGTTAGATGACGCGACAAATAAGTAGATCTTCGACCACCGGCCTCGGGTATCCTGGTGCCAAGTCGACCTGGATACCCTTTAGCTCGCACATGGTCTTTGTTATGGACAAACTGTAACTTGCACAGAACTCAAACAGCTGAACACTACTCGGGTTCAGATCGGGGGAACCGTTCTTCAAGACCCTTCACTGACATTTCTCAGAAGTAGAGTCCGCAGTTGCCGTACTGTCCAGGACCCCTCCCAGGGACGCCAAGAAGTCCAGATACTCTGCAATGCCAGTATCCTATTAATCCATTCCTAGCTGATAGTTCAGTTCAGAATGTGAAAACAAAGACCAAAAACTATCAGGAGCATTTGAGAAGTAAAATATCTCCATTGGTCATAAAAAAAGTAAATGTTTAGACTTATCTCTGTCCTGATTTGTAATATCTTGACATGAACACAATCTGTGATGCATTTGTGACAAAATACAAGTCCATGGAAACTACAGTTCCTCAACACCTAAACTATAACTATCAAACTTCCGATGTAAACATTTGAATAGGGACACAACGGTTTCTGAATTACAGTAGATAAATATAACACCTGTGGCCAGCATGAAAAAAATGTATTTCCACAGTCATTGTTCTTTTGTTCATACTTTGATCTTGCCAAATATAAATATAAAATGAGTTTTGAATCAGAAACATTTGCCTCTACTGAGATGGGCCTCTGAACCTTCATCTGAACTTTTGCTTGTGTTAAAACCAGTGATGATGTGATCCAAACTGACACCACTATGCTAAAATAAAGAGAGAACATCCCGGCATTCTTTATTATAGTACAACCACATGTCACACACGTGTGCCCATGCACAAATATACAAAGACAATTGCACAAGCCACAAACCCTCACTATCCAAACCTCCTGCCAAAACCAGTGGAAAATTCAAAACATTTTCTCAACTTTTAAAAATGAACAAATCTAGTAGGATTATTTCACCATGCTTGGCTGCCCTAAACTTCCCCTTCAAATCCACTCAAAAATTCTTGGTGATGCTTTTCACGACAATCTATGCAAACAAATATCAAGCAAAGCTATTTGTACTGGCAGTGCTACTCCGGTAAAGCAGACTGAAGCAGGACCAGATGGGCCTGGGTCCATGTTTGTGGTACACTGAAAGGCACTCCACAACAATCAGTGAGACTTTGGTTTTGTGCAAGAGAAAACTCAAGTCAACCACCATCCCTTATGCTTCAATTTGTGTTTTGATTTATTTATTTATTTTGTTTAACAATTGAAATAGTGTTATGAAGGCATTATAGTCTTAGGCCAATATAGCAGAATTGTGAGAATGCATTTGTACAATGTATCACATACCAGAAGTGTAAGTGCAGAAAAATGTACCAGTGCTTTGAAATAATACTTTGAACTGAATCAGCTTATCTATATTACACTAACATTCATTGTCTTTAGTTGGAAATTCATAGTAGTTTTTATTTATCATATATTCAATATAATATCAATATTGGCTGAATATTACTTTTTGTTTTAAATACACCAAGCCTGCCATTGGAACAACTGGGCAAGACAAGGTGGTGCCTGCAAATATACATTTGATCAGAGTGTGTGTACTAATGCACAAGGGAACACAGGTGTCACTACAGGGGATTTGACACAGTCAATGTAGATACAGCAAGCTTGACGACAAAAACACACAAGAGCCCAAGGCTGGAGGATAAAAGAAAGTAACATAGTTCCACATATCAACACACAAGCTGCAGTATTCACACACGTCCCCTCGGGACAAAACAGACGTATATTCCTCCCACTTGTTCAGATTTCTCTGCTAGACACTGGGCAGACTCCTATAAGCAGTTATTTCCCAGAGTCACTAGTACTGCTGAGTGTGATTGTGTGTGTGACAAGTACAAATCCCTGACACCATACTGATGATAGCATTACAGCGGAGCCTCAAGGGGACTGTGCCACAAGCACACACAAACAACACTACGCCTCCCTGTCTCTTGTCTCTGCCTTTGTCTGCCTCCGTCTCTCCCAGGAGCCCCTGGGGCATCGGGGATACATAGTGCCTCCCAACTGAAAGTTAAAAATCACACTGGAATCAATCAAAGTTATTAGGATATAGATAGAGTACAAGGCCATTCAAGACTGTCTCTGTGCCATGGTAAAGGGCAGAAAGCAACTTTAACATAGATATGTTTAAGTTGTTTATGTCACATGATTGATGTGAAATTATTTTGTTGTATTTCCTTGCTTGATCAATTCACAAATCTATACAGATTATGTATATATTGAAATTGAACAGCAGATACGTGTACACCATGATCTCCACAAACATTTCAGACATATTAAGTTGAGACAGAATTGATGACAAGACTTCATTATAATCCAATCTTCTTCCTTTTTTCTCTACTGTTTGATGAGGCTTAATGGCCTTTTCAGCCCTGTGTAATATTCAAGAGGCCTGGAGGTGTTTGTTTTGGCAATAACAGACCACTGCTATGACCTGAATTGCTCCAATATATCTCATTACAATATTTATTACTTTTATTTCCATTTTGGATTATTTGGACGTACTAATAATGTGAAGGGATTTATGCATCTCATAATTCCGGATTCAACAAATGCCCTGGATTTATTGGCATATGCCAATTTGATTTTAATGAGATTGAACACCTCCAGGTATAGGGCAGCTTCATCACCTGCATGGGGCATCTCCCTCCATTCCTCTGTTGGTCTGCCCTTCATATTACAATTTCATGCACACAACTAGCACCATCATTGCATACCCCCATCTGATGAAAAACCAGAAAGGCTTTGTGTGGTTCATTAAACCAGCATAGGAAATGTCTGTTTTAACTAAAATATAGGGCTGGGAGCTATTGGATGTTGACTTAACCTTTCTGCATATTTAATAACGGCATGCATGCAAAAATACATTAATTTCACAAAACTAGTGACTAGTTTTATGTGATCAATATTACACACACATATATATATATAAATAATATGAGAGAGAGAGAGAGAGAGAGAGAGAGAGAGAGAGAAATGCAAATATATATACATCAGTGTGTGTGTGTGTGTGTATGTATATATATACATACAATTAATATTAATTAAACAAAAACAAACTAACTAAAATAAACTTTAGTAAGTCAAACTTTGTTGTCCGTGAAGTTATAGTGTCTCCAAAATGTTTATGTTTCTGATTCGTTATCAACATGGGTGTTATTATGAAAGCCAGAGCCTGGACCATGACCGCTCATCAGAGTCAGACCAGTCTCTTATCTATGAGATCTCTGCAGGGAAATGCTGATCTGCAGCACAGAAGCTCTTTAGCGCCCCCCGGAGAGACCACTCGTCATCGCACACGTGTTTCTGGAGAGACAACTCACAAAATACGGTGTATTTGGGGATCTGTCAGAATATACCAGCCTGAACAGCCTCGAAGAAAATCCTATAAGCACAAAAATACACATGTATTGTTCTGTAAAAAAGGGGACGTGACGCTGTGAATGAAATTAAACAATAATTACACCATAGACTTACAAAAGGCCATTACTGGGGTATATAAATATATATATATATATATATATATATATATATATATATATATAGATACACACACACTGATGAATATATATTTGCATTTCTCTATGCATTTTACCACAGGGATATTTTACTTCACTAGTTGTTAGTTTAACAAGGGCATGTATCCATTTGTTAATTGATACAATTACGCCTTACGCGTAATGGTCACGTAGGTCTCCAGGCGCGCATCAATCACTGGTCTATTGACCTGCCAAAAAGCCTTCCTGCTGGGACATGGGACAGCCCCTCTCTAATAGAAAAAGATAGAAACATCATAGTCATTAACTCCGGGCTTGGACCTCTGGCCACGGAGCCAGAGCATGGGATTAAAACTATAGAAAAGCAGTACACGTTTGCATGACAAATGTGTCCGTGTTTTTCTTCGGTTGGTTCGATATGATCAACAGTTGTGTAGGTTTAATTGACTCATCCCCTGACGTTTATATAACGTGGACACATCAAACAAATCATACAAAAAACAACTATTAATATCAGTGTTACATGAGAGAAACAGCATGTATCTTAAGAAAAGCCAAGGCTGGACGTGATTGGCAAAGACATTTTTCTATCTCTGGTACCCTGGCGTTTCGGGATTACCGTGACGTCACGCAGATACCCTTGCATGGATGAATGCTAAAGAACTATAGAGCCACAAATAATAGCACAAGCAGAGTCCATATCTTGCAAGTCTTACGTTATCCTTTAAGCCTCCTTTAGCTAACAACAACATTTTGGTCGCGTTGCAGTGCTTATTGACGCTTAATTTAATTTCTTATCGGCTCGTTTGGGGGGATTATTCATTCATATAAAACAATCTGCAGATGGTGCCAGCCTAAAGTCTCCCTCCTATGAGTGAAGTCATCTATTATTGAGCGAAAGGCCGTGTGTGGAAATGTGTGTAAGACGCTGGATTTGAAGTAGAATTGGTTGCAATCGATCAAGGGTGAAGAATATTGCAGATGGGAACAAAAGACGCAGCTATGTCTTTCTCACAGTTTGGATATCCTTACAATGCAACGTCACAGGTAAGACATGTTTTTGTATTTATTGCATGCTTTGTCAATCGTTATATTTTTTACAATTTCACTCCAGAAAGCAGACAGGCTCAGGAAATAATCTATGACTGACATAATGACAGCTATTTTCTCTTGACGCGTTTGTTGTCGAACCAAATATCAATAACGCACACACAGAGACGTGTCCAATTACACTGAATTATGAATGAACTCACGTGTTTTTTCCGATGACAATAGAGATGAATGTCACCTATCTCAAGAGCGGGAGTTGGAAGTTGGCTGTCCTGCGTGTTTCACAACTTGTTTAGAATGCCACGTGAAAGAGGATGTTAAAAAAAACGACAAAAAGTTGTTTAAAGTACATGAATTAGACTTTATTTACAATTAGGAAATGCTGGATTGAGTTCATTCTTTCTAATCCTAAAGTAGACTCCGAAATAGTTTGCAGTATTTACAACAGTTTGATACATGTTTTAAACCGTATTTCAAACTCAACTCACTCACCTAAAAAGTTGAAAGCATTAGGCTCAAATTTGCTTTGGTTAAAACAACGAAACAGCGACAAGTTGTAGGCAGCATCCAGAAAACATGCATCTGAAACTCCTACATATAGACAGAGTATTCCAAAACGAAACAAACAGGCTGTGACTCTCTCCACGATTCTCTTCACGCAGTTTTTCGTGTCCGCAAACCCCGGTACGACTTGCTGCGATGCTATTTCCAAGTCTGTCTCTGACGGGACAGGCGCGTCCCAAACCGCTGCAGCCGCGTCCTTCTGCTGCCCCTCGTACAGCCGCACGGAGCTCAACACGGCGCTGGGGGTCTACAGCTCCCCGTACGCAGCCGCTGCAGCCGCCAGCCAGACCTATGCCAACTACTTCCCCTACAGCCCCGATCCATCCGCCATCTACTCCTCTCTGGTGGGTAGCGCTGTGCGTGCACTTCAGATGCAGCCAGATCAACTTGTTTATATTTCATGCCACTAATAGAAACAAAATAAAAGGGTGAAAAAGCCTAGTGGTGTAGTGGTAGGGCTGTGGTTATTTTATTGGTAAGTGGAACCAGCATAATGACTTCACATATTACAAAGATATAAACGTAAATAGAGGAAAAAACATTAATAAAAACATTAACAATAACTATGTAATCAAAAATATGTCATCCAAGCATCATGGATGTTATAACAATTAAAAGATAATTTGTTTTTTATTTATTTAGTTGTAATATGTTTATTATTAATTTTAATACAACTTTTAAAATGTGGTTGTAACTTTTGTGATTTCAGACGCCACAGTATGACATCAAGGACAGCACAGGCGCCTTACACTCTGGAATTGCTCAGACGGCAGCTTACTATCCTTATGACCACTCACTCGGACAGTATCAGTATGACAGGTATAACTTTTTTACTTTTCTATAAACTAATTCTCTTCAGTGTCACAACTTAAGTAGTAAGTGTAATCTAATAAAGCGCAGAGGAGAGCAGGATCTAGATGACTTGTGTGTACATTCAGGTATGGGACAGTAGACTTCAATGGGACAGCCAGAAGAAAGAATGCCACTCGGGAAACAACCAGCACTTTAAAAACATGGCTCTATGAGCACCGCAAGAACCCTTACCCCACTAAGGGAGAGAAAATCATGCTCGCCATCATCACCAAAATGACACTTACACAAGTGTCCACCTGGTTTGCCAACGCCAGGAGGAGACTCAAGAAGGAGAACAAGATGACGTGGTCCCCTAAGAATAAAGCCGGAGAAGACAGGAAGGACGAACTTGACAAAAATGACCACGACTGTGTAACCAAAGGTAAGGCTGTCAGAAAGGCTGTCTTCATAATTATGAACATCTTGTTGATTCTTGTTAATTTTCACTTTTTTTAAATGTATATTTATATAAATGATTCTACCTCCATTTAGTACTGTCATAATCAATCTAATGAAAAACAAACCTCTTCATGCAGTAAATGAGCTTACTACTTCCCTTTTTGTGTATTCAAAGAAACAGCTGATTGCAAAGAGGGGAAGGACTTGCAGTTGAGCGACCTGGACGACCTGGAGGATGAAGACTGTGATAAACTTGACAGTGACTGTGAAAAAGCCACTGGAGATGATGCCGACCTACAGCAGGCCCTGACCATCTCTGGGAGCCTCCAAAAACGGGACTCGGAACTTAACCTGAGTTTATCAAACACTTTCCAGCCTTCATTTTCCTGTCCCATAAAGAGCTCTCTTCCTCCCCTCATGACCAGCTACCCTGACCCAGTGGTCTCTCGGTCTTCCAGTCCAATGGGAACTCTGTCGCACTTTGAATCTTCAGACAAACCCAGGATCTGGTCCCTGGCTCGAACAGCAGCATTGGGGGTCATTCTGAGTCCGCAGCAACAGCCTCCGCATGGCTCAGAGCTGAGAACGGGGTCATCCTGTCAGCTGCAGGGCGCCAGGCTTCCTGTATCTCCTAATGGACAGTGTGCTGGAATAAGGGGCCTTAATCATGAAAACTCAAACCCTGAAAACTCTTTCTCCTCTGAAAGTTCTCTGCACCCAAAAGTGTATGGAGCTGGGAGCTACAGTCACAAAAGCATCCATCTGCACTGTTCGTCCTACACTGGGTTGACGGATACGTATCCATACACGACCACAATCGAAGGTAAAACACCTACATTTTTTTGTTTAATATTGTTGTATTTCTCATTATATTAGTCATTAAATATTACATACAAGTAAAATCTCAAATGATCAGTAGAGTCATATGCAGCAGCTTCTCCATAGTGTTTGTTGTTCACTGCTTGTTTACACATTTGTCTTTGCTGTATGCTTTCAAATTGTTGACAATTAATAGATTTTCATTTTATTTATATCCGTATTATTTTTAAGATTAAGATTATTATTTAATTCATCACATATTCCTCACTTAATCTGTAACGTGAACCTGACAGAAAATACTACCAAAGTTGCTAAGACGCACTTTATCTGTTGTTCGTGCAGGATTCCCAAGTGGAAAAGCTCAAACCCCGTCCCCTGACCTCAGCCAGGCATGTGCGACCTTAGCAGATGACAAGGTGACTGCGTTCAGACCCGTGATGAAGAGGTGAAGCAGGTGAGAGGCTCCACTGACCTGGAAATTGAGGGGGGGAAACATACGCAAAACTCAGTCCACTGTAAAATACGTCCTTTAGTTATTTATTCTTAGTTGTAATATATTTCAGATTCTAAAGTTGTATTCAAAACAACAGAAGAAAAGAATATACTACAAATAGATGTTTGTCATTTTCCATATCCACAGGCCATTACAGAATAGAGTGGGATTCAATACAAGTGTATACATAACAGTGCAGTGTTACATTAATTCTAACAGCTGTAGAAAAAATGTAAACATGTTAAGACGGTTGTAAAGACGAAGGGTTCAGTTCTGAATCGTTCCGTTCTGAAGCATCAGCAGAGACTAAATCATTTTGTTCATACTGTCCGGTCCAGTCCAGAGACCGGTCTGGGTCTGTCCGCTACATAGCAAATCTATCCACAATAGAAAAAGGCATGCCTAGTATATCCATCTATTTTCTTATTTTGCTTATGTAACATTGGATAATCTGTTTGTCTTGTTTTTCTAATCTGCTGACTGCTGTTGTGATTTCTTTGTCACTAACTAAACAATTGAAGTATATATTTTAATAAAACCTTTCTTTTTTTTTTTTTTGTAGATCAACCCACCTCGATACGCAGATTTTTAATATGCACTAAAGTGTCCGCTTGTGATGTGGGGCACAGACATGGACTCATTCAGAGACTGATATTCCTAAACTGTGGATCATTTTGCACATGTTCTTTTCTTCATCAAATTTATGCAAAAATCTAGATGCAAAGATACAAGAAAGGGCCCTTTATTAAATTCATAGCCCAATGTTTTCTCATGGCAATCAAGTAGGCTAGATATTTATTCATCTTATTTATTGTATTTATTTACTATGGATGTGTTTTGATGTGTTACCCGTTTGTTTACATTGTAGCGTGAACTTTTTTGAAGAATAGACCTGTCTGACATTTTACAGAAATGACCAGAGATCTCAAATATTTTGCTAAATTAACTTGGTCAATACGTCATTTTCAAAATATAATGTATCTGTAATTGTCTTAATGTTTTTTTTTTTTTTTTTTTTTTTTTGACTCATTTGTAAATATACTTTTTCCAGGATTTCTTTCTGTCTTGTGTTCATTTCAGTGAGCAGATTAAATGCTATTTGCTCTGGTCTCAAATACAATTTATTGTCTTTAAATGGAAATAAAAACCTGCTGAACTATTGGAAGGTCATAATTCAGTGGAGGACGTGAACCAAATGCACAAGTCGATGGATAAAAGAGGGACATCAGGTCTGTATTGTCAACATCTAATCAGGAGTGGCATCATACACTTTGTTACTGTTCGCGGCGCAGGCAGAGAATGAATGGTGCTTTTGTCCCTTGTGTAGGCAGCCTGTGTGCACTAACCTAACATTGTGTTCATTAAAAGGTCATTTGTAGGATCAAACCCACCAGAGAAATTCACATGGGCCATCACAGCCCCTTTGATTTGGATATTATTTTGCCTAAATTCTCGTTGTGCAGACAGCGGGCGGAGATGAGCTCACGACCAGCTCTGTGATGTCAGATGCAGCAATGCCATGAAACTTTCTTCACTTTCAGATGAATGTGTGTGCATACAGAATAATATTTTGTCTTTGCCATACACACACATTCACATAGATCAAATCATCAGAATCAGAATCAGAATCATTTTTATTGCCACGCAAGTAACAATCATAACAGCTACTTCTATATAGTCTGAGATTTGCTAATTACTAATAACTATTTCCTATACAAACTTGCGAGTATATTTATTTTCCATTCCCATTATAGCATTTCTTATTTTTATATGTGGCGGATAATGCTTTGTGAATATATAAGGTAGTGAGAGTTACTTTATGTATTATATAGTATAGGTGTTCAGATTCGGGTACAATTCTCTTTCAAGTTTCTTCCTTTCCAAACAATATCGGTATCCATTGGCAGGTCTTCGCATGTTCGCTCCATACATTAAAATGCAGAATGTGTGTATAAAATATTTACAACCAAATGTAATTAAATTGGAGGCCGTAAAGAAAAGTTGCCTTGTGCCATTGAAGGTAATGATGCATGCATAATGGGATTACCACCATGGCAATGTACCTGGGGGGAAAACCATAGATAATGGCTATAATGGGCTCATATAGCAGCATATGCCGGCAGCAGCTAATAGGTCAATTAGTCTGTCCATTGCTTTGCATATAGTCCTGCAGCAGCTGCGCACTACACAACAGAGGGAGGAACCTGGTACATTTGGAGTTGTGTGAGGAGGAACAGATATTTTGATTGTCTGACATCTAATCCTGGCCTAGACATGGGATCTGAGGCACCACAGGACAATCCATGGCTCCTTAGGTAGCATACACAGTGTAATCTTCCTAATACATGACATCTTCATGAATTACATTTTTCATTAGACAAAGGATGGAATGGCGCGTGTGGCTATAATCCAAAACAGATTTCAGATAATCTTTGAATGAAGCACAAATGCGCAAGAAAAACAAACCAGCATAGATGCCATAAATGACAACTGTCATATGTATACGTTGAATTGCTATACATTCAGAGATAAGTCAGTCAATGTAAACATGTTGTTCGTTTTAGCCCCTTGAAAAACAAAATGTAGGTACGTATGAAAAGAAAATCACCCCATTTAGGTCAGTGAGGTCACAAACATTATTTCTATTCGCTCCATGTCACAATATTGAGATAAATCATCTGAATGATTTAAAGTTTGACTTTCTACAAAGTGAGAAGCTTAATTTTAGTGAGTGAGGAAAAAAATATGAGCTGAATTTAATTGATAAAGTGGCAAATTTAAGTTCAATAAAAATGTTTAAATCAGTCCATCATGACAGTTATGTGGAAAGGGTTGCTTAACTTTATCAACTCCTGACTGCTTTCAAGTACTGTGCATGTGCTAAACCTACTTGTGTTTTAAAAGTTGAAAATGAAGCCAGTATTAACAAAGAAAAAGCATTTATTGCAGTTGAACTTTATCTGCCATTTTGGTCTCTAGTATGAAGTGAGTGAGTGTATTGTTGCCTGTTCTGCTCGATAGGTCAGAATGCTGGTTCATCGTCAATTAGCAACAATCTCAATCTATTACAAAGCTTTGCAAACAGCCTGAACTTAATGAGCATGTGCCTCCACTACATAAGACTATAGATTACCCTGACATGATAGCAATGACCGCCTGTTATAAATAGTGAGCACAATAACAACAACTTCTTGCACAATGATTCTCCCCAAATAAAGCAGTGCGGAGGTGCTATCTGATGTGTCCCACGCTGGGCACAGAAAACAAGTCTTTGAACCAATAGCTTAGGGTTCAAATGAGGGGTACAATATACACAGTTCATTACATTTCATCAAAAGGTGCAATGAAATGTGTGTGGCTTATTGTTCCTGTGCATGTCGCCCTTTCGTGGAATTTCTGATGGCCAGTGTTGTTACAAGGTCCCCGCTAATGAGTTTTGTCAAAGATAATTATGGACTTGGAGGGATGACCAGGGAAGGATGAAAAGCTGGCATTGTGCAGGATGCCTGGATGCTGCAGTGAAACCAATGCTTTTTTAATTTGAACCCTGCGTTTGACCTGTGCATTTCATAAACAAGAATTGTAGGGCTGCATTGAGTGGTCACAGTGGTGCCCGGATCAGCTTCAGCACCTTTGGCCTCATCATATGTGACCCTGAGTTGATCCCAATGCATCAGAGGAGGGTGAATCTGAGGGTGCCTTGGTGACAATAGTGGCAGGTAATTTGCATAGCTCCCTGAACATTATTTTCCACTACAATTGTCGTCTATATGAATGTGGATTCATAATCATAATTTGAAATGTATATATATTAAAACAATACATCAAAATTAGGGGTTGAGCGATTATCTGCCAGGCTGATTATTTAGACATATTCATTATGTATTTAATATTTTTTTCTGGACAAATTATAAGTCTAGTCCAGCCTACATGTTGAAGCCATGATACAACTCATAACACTTATTAGTCTACTGTGCAACACAACAGCTGTGCCTCATGTTGTAACACATTTACTATGTACCTAAACAAATGTATCAGTTTGGTTGAGTTTGTTTATTTCAGTCAAAATTCAATCCAAAGTCACTCCTGCTGTTACATAACAACCAGCTATACGTTTTTTTGTGTTGTTGTAAAAACCTGGAACCATGAAAACTCCCATATTGTCCATATTGTACTCCAAATTTATTGGCTCTGTATTTCAGTTATCGGTCTCTACTTATTTTTGGTATTGAGTTATCTTAAAATGTGATATGATATCAGTTATTAAAAAAAAACAAGAAGAAATACATCTTAAACGTACCAATGTAATCTCTCTGGATGCCATTATTCAAGATAAACCAAAGCCAAGGTCATTAGACCATCTGTACCTCTGGAAAGTGTGCAAGTGGCCCTCAAAAGGATTAAATGAGCAGCAAAGGCCTTGTTTACTATCAACACATTCATACATAAGCAGGTCACCGGGTCAAGAAAGCCTTATATGCATCACAGGGATAGTTTGCAAAGCAAAAGGCAACAAAGCAAAACTGGTCAATACCGTAAATATGTTTTAGACAGTGTACAATCCCTCTACCAAACAACATTTACAAAAATGTCCGTTAGGATTTCTTTGTTTGTTTGCTTGAGTGGTGAACTGGCAGCTTTCTTTGCTGACTTTAGGGCAGCGTCATCATTAATCTCCTGTGTCATTTTAATGCCTTTTATAATCCTCATCTCATCTTAATCTCACTCTCTCCTTCTGTTTTTCTTATTCTTTACGATGGGCATCTGCTTGTGGTTATAACCTGCTTTTTGCTGTTTGTAAGACTTAACTGGACATCACAACAAAAACATGCATAGTCCAGAACAAAAACTGAAAACAAAAACAGCAAAACAAAAAAGCATTGAGCTGTTTCAAAAATATTACACTATTTTTTATTTTATCTTACAGTATGTAGTTTACTACAGTCTGCTCATTGAGTGTTTATTGTATTATATTGAAAGCCACCATATGCTCTCAAGGTGCCAGGCATGGGGACTGTATTGTTTTTTATTGTGACCTAGTAAGAGGAGAAAACTTATTGTGTTTTTGTACAGTGAACCTCCTTAAGGGTGGTGACCCATTATGGTAATTTTAATCTGTGCTGCATGTAAGATTTTTCAGCATCTTGCAGGATTTGATATTGTATTGATGTCCCATAAAGGGCAGGTAAATAGACAATTGGCAATTTAAAATATGGATATCTGAATAACAAGTTCTAACAACAGACCCATTATCTTGGGCACATATGAACATAAATCTGTTTTTTTCCGGCCTTAGTAACCAGACTGTGTATTTCTACTCAATGATGCTCGTGTCTGCCTATAGGAGAGTTGATTTTAACATTTTTAGTAACAATGTTCCAGGAAAGAAGCCGCAGTGCCATCAGTTTTCTTCAATTTGTGTCTCTAGCGCCACAAACTCAGCCTGCGCCAACCTGCAGCCAGTTTGACACATGAAGTCCAGTATTTAAGGGCAGCTGCTCTGCTGACTGCGCCTGCCTGTTGTCCTTACCACAGACAGTAGAGATGTGCAATACAACGAGAGAGTGAGGCTGCTGTAGCTAGATAATGAACACTCCTCTCC